ATTGCTTTGTCTTGTTCTGCGTGGTTTCGCATTGCTTTCCGCCGCCCAGACCGCACCACATGGCTTGCACCACCCAGATTGCACAACCGAATCTGCACCGCGTAGGGTGCAAGGAATCACTGCTTGAGGCCCACGCTTTCGGGCATGTACTGAAAGACTTCTCGCGCGCGTCGCCCCAGCGGGGGCGACGCACACACACACACACACACACACACACACACACACACACACACACACACACACACACACACACACACACACACACACACACACACACACACACACACACACACCCACACACACACCACACACACCACCCCCCACACCCACACCCACACCACACCACACCCCACACCCCACACCACACCACCACACCCCACACCCCCACACCCAACACCCCACACCCACACCCAACACCCCACACCCCACACCCCACACCCCACACCACACCACCCCACACCCCACACCCCACAACCCACACCCCACACCCCCACACCCCACACCACACACCACACACCACACACACACAAACAAACACACACACACACACAGTCATCGTGTTACCATGAGGAACGCACAGTAAGGAACCAAAGGGCTGCTCTGGCCACGGCGGGCCTAGGCCACAAACAGGGTCCACGATACAAAATCTAAGGGACGGCCTGAAAACCCGAGCCCCTCCTGAGCACAGCGCGGTCCCCATTTCAAGATTGGGCTTCCGCCCGCCCTCTGATGAGGACGGAAGAAAGACAACCGATCGACTCTTGAAGTAGGAAGGCGCCTAACGTAAATTGGGATCTGGGCATCCACGAACACCTACTTTCAACGACCAGCGTGTCATAAAAATGTCTGCCTGGGCGCTGCCGAAGCACAGCCGTGCAGATGGGGAGGGAGGGGGCGGAGGCTCTAGCAGTGGCCCCCGAAACAGCTCCGCAGACGCCCACAATGAGTTCCCAGATAGTGCCCAGAACCGAGCAGGAGATCGACTCCTCAGCAGCGAGCGAGGGGGGAGGTGAGACGGAGAGGGCCTTCTCAGAAGGCGGCGGGACTTCTCAGAAACCCTCCGGCCTTCTGAGAAGGTTCCCGTGTCTTCGGGGCAGGCTTAGAAAATCTTGTTCAGAAGGCCCAAGGACCTCCGAGCAGTCTGAGAAGGCCCGCCCCTCGTCACTTCCCCCCTGGGCTCACCGCCGAACTGCAGAATTGACGCGCTCCCAACTCGTGTTTTTTTTTTCCGTCGAAGCTACGCACAAACAAATAGGCGCTTCGTAGACCGACATACATTCTACGCAGCTTTCCCGTGGAGTCGACGGACAAACCGTTGTGAGGGTAAATCAATTATTTAGTCGACCTCTCCTATTCGAAAGAAGCCCACGACGCCTCAACCGTGGACTCCTTGCCTCTCATGGGGGGGGGGTCGGCGGAACGACGCAAGCCTCTTGAATAGAAGTGTTTTCCTGGGCGCTGCCGGAACACAGGCCGCCAGGAGGAGGAGGAGGAAAAGGAGGAGGAGGAGGAGGAGGAAAAGGAGGAGGAGGAGGAGGAGGAGGACCCCCACACCCGTTAGCGCAGCAGAGAGTGCACTCCATGATGACGAAACGCACAACAGCGGGCGCGGCCTCGAACTGCTTGGAGTGCGAAAGCCCTATCCTGCCCTCCCCGCCTGCGGCGCTGATTGAAGGCAGAAAATAAGATATAAATGGCGACAGCACAGGCATGCATGAACTCACTCGCTTTAGGGGTGTGCTCAAGAGACGGCCAGAGATGGGGAAGAAAATTGAAAGGCGCAACACACCCCCACTTCGGTGGGGGCGAGGGGGGGAGCTCCCTCAGGAGGGGGGCCGCAACAGGACAGGAGACGAAGTGAGAGATATTGTCGGCCCCTAAATTGCAGCACCCGAAAACACAAGGCCCAGTGGCCTGTCTGAAACGCTTCGTAGTTGGCCAAGCATTGAACACGGTTTTTAGAAGGGATGTAATAATAAAACTGGGCAGCCTCCTCGCTAGAATATTAAGCCTCAGAACCGTCAGTTGAGCATATTGGGGCGTAGCATGTGGTAGCCAATAGCGAAGACGAGCAAGGGCAATATGATTGATGAAGTGATGGGGCTGACGTCGAACAATAAACTTCGCGACCATACTCTGCAGCTTTTTCGGGGGCTCGTGGATCGGGGCATCGGGGATTCTGATGTACTGGCTATACTCGATAAGCATGTTCCAGAAGATAGAATTCAGGAAGTGCGGGTTCCACTTATACGTTAGGGTCCTGTTGCCGTCTTCCTGGGCAGCATTATACATGGAGCGCATAGCATGAAACTCTTCCGAGCGGATGGCACAGCGTAGCATGGGCGCACGACAAAGGGTTTCCATAGAGCGACACTGCACAGGAAGACCTAATTCTTTGAGACGGAACATGGCCTTGGGAGGAAAGGCATGCCGCGGCGCTCGAGGAAGCTTTTGGCGTGCCTCTCGTTCTGCACGAACGAGTTCCTTCGACGGCAGGTAGAACTGCCCAACATGCGATGTGACAGGGACGACGTAGGTGTTGAAAGCCTGCGCGGACTGGATGAAACTCAGCCCCAGGCACCGCGCGCCCTCTGTCCTGCTCCTAATTTTCACTGCAACAGGCTGCCAGGCGTCAAGAAAACCACGCTCACCGACCTGAACTCCCAGGAGTTTGCCAGACCTCTGAATCTGATAACGAGAAACATCAAGCCCCCGACCACGGAAGGCCTCCAGGACATCCTTTTTCTCCTCAATATTCAAAACAACAATGACACATTTCTTATAGTTAAGCGTGGGCCCAGTTACTTTACCTGACAACACAAGCCTTATCAATACCTGCGGCAGGGTCTTGCAGAGGTTGCGTGCGACTAAGTAAATGTCATCGGCGAAGGCGCCGATCTGAAATACGAGGCGCTCCTGCAGCTGAATTAAGTAGCGGGGCACTGGATCCAGCACAAGTGCAAAGAGCACACCACTGAGCGGACATCCCTGTTTCATCCCTCGAAAGGAATAGAAGCCATGCATCCCACCACCCCACACTATTGAAGTCCATATATCGTCATATAGTTCCTCTATCGCATTGATAAGATAGGGTGGCAATTTCATACGAATCAGTGCGCAATTGATCCAACTGCAAAAAAAACACTCGGGAAGGCGTTCTTAAAATCGAAGAGCGTGAAGCCGCACTCCGTGTGCCTATAGGCGGTGCCCCAAAGCATGAGCAGACCATCCATATTGATGATATTGTCATTCATCACCCTCCCCTTGACGAACCCCCGCTGGACGACGTGGCAGGTTTCAGCAGCAACATGATTTAATACCGAGGCGATGGCGGAGCTGAGGAGCTTGTTATCAGCACTCGAAAGCGATAGGGGTCGAACGACATGTGGATCAGGAACCTCCCCCCCTCCCTGGACAACATCTCCTTTAGGCAAAAACACAGCCCTGTAGTGGTTAAAGCTGGGGGCGACTCTGCCACCAGACATGGTGTGGCAGTACAGGGCATAAAGCGCAGCACGCGTCTTCTTACCTGTCCTTTGCCAGGCGGGATAGGGAACGCCATCGGGGCCCGTGGCTGTGTCACGCTTGAAATCGATCAAGCCGTTGAAATGCTCCTCGGCCAGGACCCAGTCGAATCTCTGGTGGCTACTGGTGACATATTGAGGCCCCGTGCCGCCAACCTCCTGGATGCGCTGAAATAGAACATGTTCAGCCCCAAGACAACCTTCGTCTTCATTGTCAAAGACTTTGCCCCAGTAGTCAGCCAGAAGCCTAGCAGCCTCTTCTGGGTCAGTATGGACCTCTCCCTGAGGTCCTCGAACACCAACAAGCTTAATACGAGGCCGCCGTGCAGCCCACGCAGCAGAGAGACGCTTGACTCGACGAATGGCCTGCTCAGCAGCTTCCGAACCTAGCTCATTGTTCTCGCGCACCTCCCTCTCCTCCCCCTGGTACTCCTCGCGCATCATGGAACTGAGATGCTCGTGGGATCTCCCTTGATCGAGCCAATTCATCGTCTCTGGGTTAGAAAACGTGAAGAGGTGCCTGTAGCCCAGACACGCACGCCGAGCATGATGGAAGCTGCCAGACCGCGCCGCACGGACAAGCTTGAGACAGCAGGCTGCCTTTTCTGGCCTCGCGCGGGCGCCTGAGATCTCGACATACCTCCGGGTGTGGCCAGCGGCAATGTGAAATATCTCTTTAACTTCCTGCACAGCAGTGGGGGGATGCGGCGAAAGCCCAGTGGTAGCGATAAGATCCTCGACAAACTCACCGAACTGCGGATGCTTGGCCACCCACGGGGGTATCGAGCCTTGACCTGTAACTGCAGGCCGCGGAGCATGCAGGCAAAGAAAGACTGGAACGTGGTCAGAGGGCTTGCCCCTGTCTGTAACCTCCCAGAGGACTCTAGTATTAGGCCGATAATCTAGTAGCGTGACAATGTCAGCGTTGCAGTATATGCGATCGAGACGAGCGTATGTCAGCTTATTGCGTATGAGTGCACGATGAGTATAGGCTGGTTGTTCGACTTCGGAGTAATGGGGAAAGAGATAGTCAAATATGGTATCTAAACGTGATGGCGATGTCTTAGGAACAGGCGGTTCAAGATAGAGTCTGCATTCTCCATGTTCATGGAAATTAAAGTCCCCTAACAGAATACTCATAGCCTGGAACTGCGGGGGCAAGGAACGAGAAAGAGAATGGAGAATACCGCGTGTTGCCCGTTCAGACCACTCAGGATCCAGATGGGCACTCGTAACCTGCAACACATCTTTCGGGCCCTGAAGAGTAATCGTGAGAATACGACCTGCCACGAGCGCGTGCGAATCTATCATCGTGAACTGCTCGGCGAGCTCTTCCCTGACCAGCAGCACTGTACATCCAGCATGGGCCTCCTGAGTGAAGGAACCGAAGGCTCGGAATCTCGGAAAGTCGCGGGTCAGAGTCTCAAGGTCCCCTTCCTGACCATGGGTCTCCTGTGCAACAATTACATCCATCTTCCGTGCAATGCTGGCCAGAGCTTTAAATTTAGACGCACCGTGCTTGTGGGAGGCAGAAAGGGAGTGAAAAAGAGTCTGGGCATTCCAGGTGCATACTCGAAGCGGCTGCGCAAGCAAGAATGGTTTTGTGGACGCTTCTGGTCCACGCGAATCTGCGCTATCTACTGTACTCCATGTTGAGCTGGAACTTTGTGTCGATGGGGTGGCCGAGGGACAGGTGCTGGCCGAAAGAGAAGCGCATGAGTCTCCGACTACGCTGGTAGTGCTTTCATGCTCCCAAAGAGATTGGCCATGATTGTCATCGACGCTCGACGAGTATGCCAGCTGCTCATCCTAGATGTAGGCGGCCGTGTTCTGGACATCCTCCATGATCCTGTTCAGCTTGTCGGTGTCCAGGGAGAAGAAAGAAACAGTGTTTTGATCTATATCGAACGTGAACGACGCATGGTTGACGCCCGAGCAGCTGACCAGCGGCCATACATCATTTCCATCTGACCAGTGAATCGTGCCCTTGTACCCGTTGATGATGGGCTTCGAACCTGCAGTGTACCGCGAGCTGGCTCCGAAGAGCTCGATGATGGGGTCCCATACTTTGCTGAGCGCCCTCTGTGTGGTCCTGACGTCCTTCGGCAGGTCAGATCTGGCCTTCATGTAGTGCATCGATCCGTCTCGCGGGTCCATCCACTGGTTGTCTGAGTTGTTGAAGACCTCCGTGGACTCCTTTGCCATGGCTTCGCTGGAGAAGGTGAGGGAGTAGCTCTGGCTGATGCGATGGTACTGCGGCGTAACATTGTTCATCATGACCGGCGTCAGGATGTTGTCCTTCCACGATGCAAAATGTGCTTGTCTCATGCTTGCTAAAATCGCACGAGGGAATGTTCCGATCCAGCGCCGACACTTGTCATATTGATAAGATCGCGAATTGTGCCAATTGGGTGATGCATTCTCCGATGCTGAAGTGCGCTGGATTTTGGCGGCTGGCTCAGTAAGCCGACTGGCCCACGTACTACCATCTGCAGATCCTCCAGCAGAGCTTGTGGCCGAGGTCGATGCTTCATGCTGAAGACGAGCAATGGCGGCACTATGCTTCTGTAGCGTTTCCCGTATCTGGACTATGTGATGTGTCTGCGCCGTCATGCCAGCGTTCTGCTCGGCAATCTTCCTCTCCAGCCCCTGGGACAGTTGCGCGAACTGCGTGGCGAAGGTCTGCGTGAGCGTGGTGCCCAGGGAGTCTATCTGCGCCTTCATGGAAACCTCTAGGGCAGCCTGGACTTGCCTCACGATCTCCTCGGCCATGGCAGAAACTGGACTGGGATGGGGAAAGATGGGGTTGTGTCCGCTCGGGCTCGCACCCGAATTGCCCTCTGAAGAGAGCTAGCTGCCCACTCAATGAGATGTGAAAGTAAGTACTCCCCAGTACCCACCACACCCGCCTTGAGCCAAAATGGCTACGGAGGAGGAGGAGGAGGAGGAGGAGGAGGAGGAGGAGGAGTCGCGACTCTCCGATCCGTGGCCCCCTGCACACCTCTGGCAGACGGCGGGTGGGATGAGGACAGGGGCGGGGAGGGATCATACTGGCTGCGCGCAAAAGGGGGCAGGGGGGGGGGGGCGGGCACGCTTCTGAGAGGCAGGGTGCTGATGAGAGGAGCCCCCAAGCGGCCCAGAAGAAGCCCCCCATTTATATATATATATATATATATATATAAAAAAAAAAAGGCCCCCAACAAGCCGCAGGAGGCCCCGGAGAGGCCCGAAGTAGGGCCCCCAAGCGGCCCCGAGGCGCCTCAGTCCCCAAGGCGCCCACACGAGTCCCCCCGGATGGCGCCCCAGAAGCCCACGACGCCTCAACCGTAGGGGTCGGCGGAATGGCCCAAGCCTCTTGGATCAGAGGACCAGGGGAGGTCGAGGGGGATTCCAGTGGACTCTCCTGCGCGAGCGCACATCAGTCACTAGCACCACTGCTCTCATCACACTGCCTGCCAGAAGGTCGAGGGGGGAGGGGTAGGGGGAGCCCAGAGATCTGGGCAGTGCAATTGTCGTTCACAGCGGGGGTTTTCGCCCGGTGTCGGGCCCCAGGGCCATCACGTATCGATCCGGCTCGAAATGTGCCGCACAAAGATGGGGTCTGGGGCTCCAGTCGTGATTTTCCGCGATGGTGAGATTTGTTCACAGAGTCGGATGGGGAGGGGGAAGGTTGATCGCCCTGCACAGAACACCCGAGCTGGTCGCGGGCGAAGCGCGCGGCCCAGCTCCGAAGAGGGTGCCCAGAATGCCTGCATGAATTCACATGCAGTCGGCCCATGCAGCCTCAGGCCGGAGCCCGAGAACAGCGGCGGCTCACGTAGCCGCGGAGCCGCCACAGCTGCATTGGGCTTTCTGGTGGCCAGCCAGAGAAGACGGGCGCTGGCGCCACACCCACTTGCCCACCGGCGCAACTGAGCAATGGATTACCCACAACGGCGTCGGGACTTTGGTTACCCCTCACCTCCGAACGTTAGGAGGCCCCCGTAAGGTAGCTCCGTCTAAAGGAGACGAGGGAGAAGGGGGTGAGAGGGGTGAGGAGGGGAAGGCGGGACGGCAGGACAGAGGGGGGGAGAGGAGGGAAAGGGGGGGGAGAGGAGGGGGGGAGAGGAGGGTGGGGGGGGGGGGGAGAGGAGGGGGGGGAGAGGAGGGGAAGGGGGACGGGAGGACAGAGGAGGGGGAGAGGGGGGGAGAGGAGGGGAAGGGGGAAAAGGGAGGGAAAGCGGGGACGGGGAGGACAGAGACGGGGGGGGGGGGCAGCGAGCCCAGCCGTGAGCATGCTGGGCTATCACCCTCTGCCGCCTTCCCCATTCTCCCTCCGGCTTCCCCTCATTCCTCAACTCGCCGCCCTCCGTTCTCCCTGCTCCCACTCGTGTATTTCCTGCTTCTCCGCCTGCTCCTCCTGCTCCTCCTCCTCCTCCTCCTCCTCCTCCTCCTCCTCCTCCTTCTCCTCCTCCCCCTCCCCCCCTAACTCAAACATAGTCCTCCTCCTGTTGCCTCCTCCTTATCCTGCTGCTGCAACTCCTTCTCGGTGTCATTGTTGTCGTCGTCGTCGTGGTCGTCGTCGTCGTGCTCCTCCTTCTCCTTCTGCTCGCCTCCATTTCTTGCATGATCCATTTATATATATATAATTGAGATTATCTCCTCCTCCTCCTCCTCCTCTCCTCCTCCTCCCCTCCTCCTCCCCCTCCTCACTGCTGTTTCTCATGCGTGGACACATTGAACACGGCCCATTGAATATTGGCACGCATGATGTTACATTCAACGGAAAACGTCCACCACACCTGCAAAGAGGAAGAGGGAACGGAAACAGCCAGGACGATGACATCCCTCCCACCTCACTCACCCAGACATTTTCTCTGGCTGAAGTTATCTGTGAGTCTAGCCTTGACAGTCGCGTGGATTCCCCCCCACCCCCTACCCAGTGGAACTTGTGGACTCCTTCAACCCACATTCAGAGCCGAGGAATGTCGGACAGTTGTTTAATAGCGTCAAGTTTCAATGTAATCGCTGACGCGAACGGAAGACAGACAATGCAGCGTGCAATGGCTATGGAACAGGCTACATCCTAGCATGAGCGCGCGCGCGCGTGCGAGATCCTCTTCGATACCCCAGTAAGTGCCGATTACCCTCCTCGACCACCAACCCTCCTCCTGAATCCTCGATCCTCCTCCTCCTCCTCCTCCTCCTCCTCCACCTCTTCCTCGACCCTCGTCGATGCCTGAGCGCCTCGACCCCACTCGATCCTCCAAAAACCTCGATCCTCCCCCATCAATGCTCGAGCCTCCCCCGACCCTCGACGACCCCGCCCCCCTCCCCGTCCGCGACCCATCCGGACATCCGCCGACGCCGACCTGCTTTTTGTTCGGGTCCGCGGCCCCGAAGCCGCTTAGCCCCCGACACCTCCTCCAGGGGTAGTGCTGCCCCCCAGGTCCACTTTTGATAGTTCCGCGGCCCGATAGCGGTCTCTGGGCGCCGAAATCGAGGGAACCCGCGGCCCCGGAACCCCCGACACCTCCCTCGGGGGTAGTGCTGCCCCCCGGGTCCATGGGTCGAAGATCGAGGAGGGTCGAGGGTCGAGGATCGAGAGTCGATGAGGAGCACCGAGGATCGAGGATGAGGGTCGAGGATCGAGAAGAAGTCGACCCCCCTCTCCTCATCAGCATCCCTCCTCCTCCCCCTCTCCCCTCAGCCTTCCTCCTCCCCCTCCTCCCTCCTAATCCTGCCCGCACGCACAGTTCCGAGTTTCAATGCTCCGCGCCCCCCTCGCCCTCGACGACGCCGACGACGCAGACGACGCAGACGACGCCGCCGCCGCCGCCGACGACGCCGAGGACGACGAGGCCGCCGCCGCCGCCGCCGCAACCGACGACGACGACGACGACGACGACGACGACGACGACGACGACCGACGACGACGACGACCCCGGCCGACGACGCCAACGACGACGACGCCGACGCCGACGACAACGACGACGACACCGACGACGACGACGCCAACGACGACAGCAACATCGACGCCGACGACGACGATGATGCCGCCGCCGCCATCGACGACGATGATGCCGCCGCCGCCGACGACGACCACGACGCCGACGACGCCGCCGACGACGACGCCGCCACCCATGACAACGACGATGACGCCGACGACGACGACGGCCACGACGACGACGCCGACGACGACGATGACGCCGCCGACGCCGACGACGACGACGCCGACGCCGACGACGACGACGACGATGCCGCCGACGACGACAACTTGTCATGACGACGCCGACGCCGACGCCGACGCCGACGACGCCGACGCCGACGACGAAGCCGACGACGACCCTGACTCCGACGACGACGCCAACGACGACGACGCCGACGACGCTGACGACGACGACGACGACGACGCCAACGACGACGCCGCCGCCCGACTCCGACGCCGACGACGCCGACGCTGACGCCGACGAGACGCCGCGGACGACGACCGCCGCCGGACGCCGACGACCGACGCAGACGACGACGCCGCCGACGACCCGCGCGACGCCACACGATGACGCGACGACGACGACGCCGCCGACGACGACGACGCGACGCCGACGCCGACGGCGACGCCAAACGCCCGAACGACGGACGCCGACGACGCCGACGCCGACGCCGCCGACGACGCCGACGACGACGGACGACGCCGAGACGACGACGACGACGACGCCGCCACCGCCGACAACGACGACGCCGCCGACACCGCCGACCGACGCCGCCGGACGACGACGACGGACGAGCCGACGACGCCGCCGACGAGACCCGCCCCGCCGCCGCCAACGACGACGCCGACGACGACGACGCCGCCGCGACGACGACGACGCTGCCGACGCCGACACCGACGCCGACGATGCGACGACGACGCGACGACGACGACGACGACGACGACGCCGCCGGTGACGACGAGCCCCGACGCCGACGACGCCGCCACGCCGCACGACGCCGACGACGCCGACGACGCCGACGCCGACGCCGACGACGCCGACGACGACGACGACGCCGCCGACGCCGACGGACTACGACGACGCCGCCGACGCCGCCGCCGATGCGACGACGACGACGACGGCCGCCAAACGACGACGCCGCCGCACGGACGCCGACGCCAACGACGCCGACGAGAGCCGACGCTGACGCCGCCGACGACGCCGCCGACGACGCCGACGACGACGCCACCGACAACGCCGCCGACGACGTCGCCGCCGCTAACGACGCCGCCGACGACGACGCCGCCGGCGGCGACGACGACGACGACGACGCCGCCGCCGACGCCGACGCTGACGCCGCCGACGCCGACGCCGACGCCGACGACGCCGACAACGACGCCGACGACGCCGCCGACGACGACGACGCCGACGACGCCGACGCCGACGACAACGACCGACCGACGACGACCGACCGACCGACGACGACGACGACCCGCCTCGGCCGAAAGCGCGGGGGCGCTCGCGAGGGCGCGCGCGGGCTCTCCGCGGGTCGTCGGGCTGCCGCGACGGCTGCGGGCGGAGGCAGCAGCTGCCAGGAGGAGGGCGAGGCGACGAGCAGGGTCGAGGGCCGAGGAGGAGGAGCGGGGATCGAGGATCGGGGAGGAGGAACGATGAGGATCGAGGAGGAGGAGGAGGAGGAGGAGGAGGAGGAGGAGGAGGAGGAGGAGGAGGAGGAGGAGGAATGATGAGGATCGAGGGAGGAGGAGGAGGAGGAGGAGGAGGAGGAGGAGGCAGGAGGAGGAGGAGGAGGAGGAGGAGGAGGAGGAGCGAGGAGCGCGGAGCGCAGAGCGAGGAGACACGAGGAGGGCGAGGCGAAGAAGGTCGAGGACCGAGGGGGGATGATGAGGACCGCGGAGGAGGAGCGAGGAGCGAGGAGGATCGAGGAGGGGCTCTTCTAGAAAACCCTGGCGTTCGAGGCCCGGGGCACGGGGCTGCGAGGGGTGCCGCCGAGCGCCTCGGGAACCGCTGCCGGGGGTGGGCCCGTCCCTGGTCCGAGCCCCCTCCTCGGCGGCGGCCGCACCGATGGCCGCAGCGACGGCCGGCGGCCGATGACGACCTGATTGGGACGCACTCTTGCCAGCGCAAGAGGCGCCCAGTGGCAGGGGAAGGAGAAAACGACAGACGAAGGGACACGACGGGAGTGCGTGGGGGGGGACGGGGAGGGGAGGGAGGGGAGGGCGGGGCGCGTGGGCGCTCAGCGCCGGCCAGGGCCCGCGCAGCACCGGGAGGCAGCTGGTGGAGGTGGGGGCCGGCCGGCGCCGGCCCGCCAGCGCGGTTGCCCCCGCCGCACCCAGCTGGGCACCGCGCCAGGGACATACTGGTACGACGCGTCCTCCCCGGAGGCGCGCATCCGACCCGAACGTGTGGCGGGGTTCGGAAGCCCCGAGCCCAAAGGGCGCGCATCTCTGACTTCCGCCGCCCTCCGCCAGCCTTCCTTTTACCAGCGCAACACCCTCGAACTTTCAATCGTATGTTTAGCGGTGGGCCCAGTTAAAAGACCTACTGTAACAACGGCGCAACCGCAACCACACTGATCGCGAGATAGAGGGCCTGAGGAACGGGCACAATCGCAGAACCCTACGGTCCCACGCTCGAGCACCGCCTCCCCTGAGGGGATGGCACGACGAGAGCGACCGCCGAGATACCCTCTAGTATCGAGGCGGGCCCTCATCAAAACAACTGAACTAGCTTCCACCAGAGCCAGACCCTCGAAGTCTGAAAAAACTTCGGAGGTCTACGTTGGGAGGCTGGGAACGGCGTGGGCGCATGTCTGCCGATGGAATCACTTCGTATTCGCCCGCTTCTGCTTGCCTTGGGATCCGTTCCCGCCTCCCCTGAACACAAGCTTCTCGAGCTCCTTGGCTGCCTTGGACCTCGGAGCCTCGTCGTCCTCTAGGATCAAACTCACCGACTTCAGGCCGCCGTTGGTCTTGAGCGCATACATGGCCGCCATCACAGCGGGGTGCGCCACAGCTGCGAATATCCACTTGGCCTCTTCCACCTCCTCTCCGTCGATCGTCGTCGTGACTCTCACGTCGAAGCATCTGGTGGCCTTGAGGCGCACCTCTGGATCCTTGAGGCTCTTCCCGAACTCTACCAGTGTAGTCAACGCCGATGCGGACTCTTGGGGGTGGGGTCCTTGAGCTACCGCGGCCTTGACCTCGTCGTACCTCGCCTCCACCGACTCGCTCAGCCTGAAGAGCAGCATGCGGAGGTAGGCGTCTGGTTTCTTGCCCAACGGGTGGCCGCCGTAGTCGGCGGCCGCGACCGTGTCCCTCGCCTCCTTCCCGACCTTCTGATAGTGCGCCGTGCTCGCTGCCAGCGCCATCTGCATCTGTGATCCGACTTTGAGCCTCACCACCACGTTCTGGTCCCGCGCCGAGCCGCTGAAATTGGCTTCGCGCTGGAGTAGAAGCTTCGTCATCAACCTGTCCTTCCTCGAGATGCCCACGATCTCCGTGTCCTTGTTGGCTGTGTCGCCAGCCTTCCGCCGGCTTCCGCCGGCCGAGCCGCCGCCGCTTTACTTCCACCGCCTTCCGCCGTCCTCCGCCGAGGCAAAGATGGTAGCTCCTCCGGCCCGCGAAGGCAAAGGCCTTCCTGGGACGCCTCATATCGCACAACCAAATTTCAGCGGAGGCCAGTCCACAAGAAACCTTCCACAAGAAACCCAACCCTGAGACCCCAAAACGTCCATGGATCTCTGGTGTGGGAACGCCACGCCTTCCACCGCAAAGCCACCGAAACCCGAGAAACCCAGGGCACCCTGGAGGCAAGCAGGGGGGGGTTCTTGGCATGGGCCTCCACGGTATAGCACATAGCTCCCCGAGCGGTGCGGCCAGGAAGCGACCGCCGCGGAGCTCATACTACTTTCAAGCTTCCTCGGCGCGCGCGCCGCCCCTGGGGGGCGGGGGGGGGCAGGCCGACGGACGAGGACGCCCTCCGACCTCGCCCCCAAGATAACAAAAACGAAGGCAGCATCGAGGCAACGTCGGGACCGATCTAACTCGGGGGTCTCTGTGAATGGGCGGGCTGTGAGGATGTACAGAATCGGGACAGCATCGGACCGACACAAGCCCGGGGTCTCTGAGAATCGACGGGTTGTGAGGACGTATCGGCCGCCGCGGCCGTCTCAGAGCAGTCTGGAACGCTCTGAGAGCGTTCCGGAACGATCTGGACCGACAGTCGGTCCAGAGCGGTCCAGTCGGTCGCGATGAGTCGGTCACCGACTCATCTCGACTCGAGGCCTGCCTTCGCACTGACGGCCGAGGACACCCTCCGACCTCGCCCCCAGGAGGAGGAAGAGGAGGAGGTGGAGGAGGGGAAGGAGGGCGGAGGAGGGATGGAGGGAGGGAGGAGGAGGAGGGAGAGGAGGAGGAGGCGGAGGGAGAAGGAGGGAGGTGGGAGGAGGGGATGGGAGAGGGAGGAGGGAGGGGGAGGAGGAGGAGGGAGGGAGGAGGGAGGAGGGAGGAGGGAGGAGGGAGGGGGGAGGAGGGGAGGAGGGAGGAGGGAGGAGGGGGATGGGGAGGAGGGAGGAGGGAGGAGGGAGGAGGGAGGAGAGAAGAGGACGGAGGAGGGGGAGGAGGGAGGAGGGAGGAGGGAGGGGGGAGGGGGAGGAGGAGGAGGAGGAGGAGGAGGAGGAGGAGGAGGAGGAGGAGGGAGGAGGAGGAGGAGGAGGATGGAGATAGAGATGGATGAGGAGGGGGAGGGGGAGGAGGAGGAAAAGGGAGGAGGATGAGGAGGAGGAGGAGGAGGAGGAGGAGCAGGAGGAGGAGGAGGAGGAGGAGACCCCCTCGAGCCATGCAAGACGCCCGACGGGGAGAAGCTGCCGCTGCTCTTCCGGCCTCCAGGGGCCCAGGCCTCGGGGCCGTCAACCAAACACCTCGGGAGGAGCACTCGGCCACGCGCAACTGTGGCCCTGGGCGGGAAGGGACTTCTCGACGAGCGCGTTCCACTACTCGCAAAAAGATGCTACTCGCAAGTGGCCTGGACCCCCCGCGGGGGATCTGCGATAGATTACATCACAGCAGACACGTGTTTTTGCCGCACGCTCACGAGCAGGCACTTTGCGAGTAGTGGAACGCGCTCGGTAACCTTCGGTGCGCGCCGTTCCGGGGCCGCGGGGAGGCTGTGCCGGAGCGCGCAAGCCGCTGCTGTCGCATCGCATCCAGCCATCTGGGGACCCCCCATTCCGATCCCCCCATCGTGGCCCCTCAATCGCGGCCCTGGATCCCTCCATCGTGGCCCCCATCGTGGCCTACCACCGTGACCCCATCGTGACTGTGGGACGCTGTTCACGGTCTGCTGGCGTGAAAGGTGCCACCGTGATTTGTGCTGCGCGAGGCCGCAAGAAGTCCCAAGCCTTTCCCCTGGGCCACTTTTTCGCCCGGATGCATTTTTGTTTGTCCCGGGGCCCGTGAACTGGCCCTGGAAGCCGACGTCGAAGAAAAAACACCTGGATCGAAAAAAACATCTCGTTGGAGATCTGGGTCATCAGTGCAGCCTCTGGTTGGGGAGTGGACGGGGGACTGTCTCAAACCTGCCATGCTTGGGCACGGGAGGCGCTCGAATATACACGTGGCCGCTGATCCGCACTGTGAAGCCGAGGAGGTTCTCACCATCCCAGTCCTGATACATTATCACCTTTGCCATGCTGTTTTGCCAGTCGCAACGATCACAAACTGCAACTAACCATCGTAACAATCACGAACACTAGTTTTCTCATCGTTTTGCACATGGTCGGACTCCTGGTCCTGAGCCAGGTGCCGACCACGATGTAGCCATCTCTTTTCGTTTCCAGGAAGCGCCCTCGCCAATGGAGCCGACCGCACAGCCGCGAGTCGAATCGCAAGCCGCAGAAAATGGGGATCAGTGCCGCTCGCCATCGCTGGCAGAACTGAAACGCACGGGCGCACGCCTCGATGCTCGAGGGGCAAAGCAGAAGGAGAGCTGATCGTGGCAGGGCCCGTCGAGACAATGGCGGCAAAAACCCTGGCGCTGTTCCTGATCTGTTGGGCCTCCCTCGGACTTCTCGTCGCCACTGCTGGGTCAGCCTCGAAACACGGGCCAGGATGGATCCC